TCAGCAGCCGCTTGATTGATCGGATGTAATGGACGCGGGAATGTTGGCAGTTATCCAATCGTTCAGTATGGCATCTTTCTGTGGTCCATGTTCAGTATGGTACACACCATGATACCAAACAGCACAGTGACTTTTCACCCTCTAAATAGGCAGACTGACTGATTACAAGTTTGAAAACACATGTGATGCTAATTACGGGACACACTTTAGTTTAATATGTCCTTATGGTCAAATTATTTTCAATCTTTTCTAGGGTTGCCATAATTTTTGTCCAGGCCAGTTTCATTAGTTTGTTTTTAAAATGCTTCTGTTGAACCACAATTCATAAGCAATGTCTGATTTTCATTTGTTAATTTTCAGTAAATTTTTATTTATTACTTTTGTCAGTTCCACGTTATTTCAGTACCCTTGTGAGTTTTTTTCTTTAATGGAAGGGTACCAACAATTTTGTCCAGGTCTGAGTCCATTTGCAGCCCTGAAAAAAGCACGAACATTTGCACTTAGTTGAACTTACTGTCACAGATTGTCCTCTTAGATTTACCTTTACACGTAACTCTTAATTTACACTGTGTGAAAACACCAGGAAGCCAGGAACCAATGTAGTATCGGGCTACAGTCGCTAATATGAGAGACTTTAGCTTCATCTTCCATAACTTTGCGTTACTTTCAGCACTGCTGCATTAGCTTTAGCTTGAGGACTCTGCTTGTAAAGATGCTATCGCTAATGCTAATAAAAACAAGGCTAATAAAGTCACAAATAGCAACTAAAGGCCATCTCGTTAACCATCTCTCATCCAGTTATGCTATCACTCATTAAGAACAGTTAAAAAAAAAGTTAATTTGGATTAACTACCTGGAAACATGGATCAACATTTTTACATCCTTCTACGTATTAAGGCAGTGTAGCCGCCTAGAACCAGTCCAACGTCTGCCCCAAGGTGAACACTTTTAAAAAATATTTTTATTTAACAATGCAAATGAGTACAAAGTACTTTCAGTACAAATTGCTGCAACAGCGTGCATTAAGAGGACTAAAGTTCAAAAGTAGGCATAATATAACAAAGTGAAAATGAATAGCAGAACCAAACAAGTGAGAACAAAAGAAAAAAGGAACACTATATAAAATACAAAGAGGTAAAGCTATTCTGACAAAATTAAAACGTTCAAGGTCAGTGGTTTTGGTTCGTTTTTTGTTAGGGTGGTTTAATTGAGACAGTGTTTGGAAGTAATTAAGATCAGATTGTTTAAAAATTGAAAAGGATGGTGATTTTTTTTTCCAAAAATTTCATTTTATGGATGGAGAACTTGGCCAAAATAATGAAGATTAATAATAAATTTTTCATTGCTAGGGAAACAGGGCTTGTCAAAAAATAGTCCTATTCTTTAAGTACAATTTCCTTACCAAGATAATTTTTGAGATCAAAACAAAAGTTAGTACAAAATACTGTCATGTGCACATGGACGAGGTCACCTCCGCCATCTTATTGTCTATGACCAGGTGCTTCTCCTCAGATCAGGTGAGAGCCATTTGTTTCACATCATGCAGCTGTTGGAGGGCATTTGTGGCGCCTGGCTCCAAAAACTAAAACCTCGTTGATTCCATGAGACTATTGTTGCCCACGTGGGCGTTATATCAGAGCAAGTCGAGATCAAGTCATACTTAAATCTAACACCTAAGCATTGAGCGCTGATCACCAGTGATTGATTCTGTGCAGATCTGGTTAATCTCGAACGTGCATAACATCTCTAGTACAGACTGTCCTGTAAATATGACAGTATAGGTAGTTTGTGCCGGTAGGTTATTACTAAATAGTACAGAAGCTAAGTGGTGACACTCTGGTGGTGTTTTGACAACAGCTGC